AGCCTGGGCCGGCGAAACCCAGCATACCTCTCCATCCTCACAGCATTTGTAGGGATGCAAGGTCTTTGGTCTAGCCAATACGACATGCACGACTATGAGTACACCCCCACCCCCCGCCCCCGCCCCCCGCTCTTGTGAAACATAGCCTGGGCCGGCGAAACCCAGCATGCCTCTCGATTCTCACAGCATTTTGTAGGGATGCGTGGTCTTTGGTCTAGCCACTACGACATGAATTTACATGAGCAAACCACGCCTCGCCCCTTCAACAACCGAAGCGCACCTGAACAAACCCGACCGCGCCCGCTCCGATGCTGACCACGGCCGCCAGGTGCGCCATGGTATGCGCCATTGCCACGGGAGTGGTCCCCTTCACCTTATGCACAACAGATCACGGCAGTTTCGACAGTTTCAGCCATGCCCGTCATCCAATCAGTTTTTATTAGTCCGTCCCGACACATGCGACAAAACCATAGGTAACGGACACACACCCCGAACGATGTCCAGCGACCGGAACAAAACAGGGATTGGGTACATTGTAGTAGCTCAATATCATCCGGGTCATTTTTGTCACGAGCTTGCCGTATGGACGACGGTCACTGCGATCACCGCTGTTTCGGCTGCATCTCTGCAAGGGCATCCCGCATACGCATTCCGTACCGTGTGTGGATTGGGATCGTTGGCGGTTCAATCAGCATCAGCACACAGGAAATATCCCAACACGCACGGCAGAAGAGAGGCCCCGGCTCAAACGTCCCGAAGTGTTTTTTGGCTCATGCATATGCAATTGCAAATACTACTATGGTGCCATGCATATCGCTGTTTTCATAGAGAGGAATACCGCCAAAGCACCACCACCTGGGAGCAAAACAAGAATATCAGGCTCAAAAAAAAGATCGAAACTCTTAAGTCCTTGACCGTAAGAACAGGCGCTCAGTTAAGAAACCGATATAAACGTACGTATTGCTCGCTGTGGAGTTGTTCACCCACCCCACAAAGGAAAAAAGAAAACGAGCCTCACGCAAAACAACGAAAGAGATTTTTTCTCAAAAGTGACGGCGGCTTCTGAACCACGGCCTGTCTCAAGTGCTGGCCTGATTGTACATGGCGCTCTCTTGGGCTTGCAACGAGACCATCATCTACAGAAAAGCAATGGCCAGAATGACAACAACAGCGGCAAGACATGAAAAAAGAACACAAACAACGACAGAGAAAGAGGGGGGGGGAGAGAAACTAAAACAAATCACCTTGGATATGGACAACTCTGGAGCTTTCCTCACGCCCGTCAGCCAAAGCATCCACACGTACGGCACTCCCACCAGCAGCTGGATCGCCGCCAGCGTGAACGGCAATGGTAGCGCTGTCGACGAAACAGTCCAAGGCGGCGAGCGCAAAGCACGACAAGAGTTGTTTAGATACAGCGAGCAAGAGGGTACATACGTCGAGTACGGAAATTCCGTTATCTAGTTTTCGGCCGTCAGGGAGCACAGGGGGTCTGTCTCACAGGGGTTTCAGTCAGGAGGCGTGATCGTCATCAAAAACGGCTGCACGACGGCGGCCGAGCCGTCGTTTCACCCAAGACAACATCATAATCACCAAGATGTCTTCGTTCGATCCTCTCTATCACGTGGACAACATCTCCACACGACGGTATTTATGAGTCTCTCTACTGCTGTATCACGGATCATTCTCGATGATGGTGTTTTTGAGTCTACAGCAGTAGCCCAACTCGGCTCGGCTCTTCAATGCGTTGTCCCTAGCATGGGCGTCACCGTGAGTCATGTACACAAGCGCGGAGACATGAGATTAAGAAGATCGGGGGCGGGGTGTACAGCATATCTCGTCCGTGGGCACTCTAAAAATAACTCTAGCGCGACATTGAAGAGCTTGAGAGGCGCACTACTCATCGTAGTGGTGGGCGCCGAGAATTGACTTGCTGCAGGACGTGAACACGACAGGCAGCATAGCCATACGTAGCCTACACGGCGGCGGCGGCAGCAGCAGCAGCAGCAGCAGCAACTGCATAGGCTACAGCAACGCGCAACACAGCTTTCGCGCTCCCGCAGCAGGCAAACAAAACTGCATCCACACGACAAGAAAGCAAGTCCATAAGGCCAAGACACACGGTCACACTATTACGTACAGCGGGCAAGGGGCAAACCCGAAAAAAAAACACAATATTCGTTGTTCCTTGTGTGACCACGGGTTGGAGTAAACGGCGCGAGTGCTGTGAGCGCTGATTTGAAGTCAAGACAAAAAAAAAAATATGGGTCCAATCAGAAAACAGCATTGTAGTGTACGCGTTTTGGAGATCCGTTCGTCCCTGGTACAGTCTTCGGAAAAAAGTCAGCGGTTTTCTTGATGACCCTGCGCTATATTAACACAAATATGTCGAAAGTCTCAGGAATCACAAAGCAGTCCATATATATCATGTTCCAGGCTGGTCATAGCTTCATCCTGCCGGACGAGGTTTCCAACAAAGCTACAAGAAAGCGTGACGCAATATTTACAAGTACTACGGTGCATGTGTAATTTCGTTTGTCTAACAGCAGCTCCTCCTTCTTTCGCCCAACATTATATAGAAGCGGGCTCCCCTCCCATACATAGGGGTCCAACAAAAAGAAATTAAATTATTTCGCGCGAAGCGCGAAAAGAAGGGTCGGAGAGAGACATCAAAGCAAGCGCACATAGATATGGACGGAGCTTACCCCACCACGTAGGTCACCAGTGCGCACTCTCATACCTCACCCGGTACCACCAGTCAATCAGGGGATGAATGGGAGCGCTGTTTAGCTCTCATCATTATCAGCTCAGCGGCAGCAGTGCTGCTGCTGCTGCTGCTCCTGCTGCTGTTGTTGCCGCCGCCGCTGCTGCTGCTGTGCATGGGTGCGCACTTGCTTTCTTCGCTTTCGCTACTAGTAGAGGGCAATGGGCTCTAAAAATTGGCCCGGACCCCCACGACGTGTGTATTTGGTCGCCCTTGGCTTACAGCGCTGTGTATGTCTCACTTGTCTCTGTCTCTGGGTGCGTCTGTTGTGGAAGCAAAGATCGGCCGGCAGACGAGGAGACCGCAGACAGAGATCTGACTTGTGTGCACTCGCATGTTGCCTCGCTGACGCTGCTCGCAGTAGGCCTCGGGGTCTAAAAATAGCTTCCGACGCCAGCCATGATGTGTGCCTTTGGCCGGCCTTGGCCTACAGTAGTGTGTAGGCCTCGTTTTCTCTGGTGTGGGGATGCGTCTGTGCGGGAAGCTCCAAAGAAAGATCGGTAGGTTGAGGGTGATGCAGACGGACCGCGGATTGACCTGCGTCGTCACTCGCTTGTGCTGCCGACAGCAGGCAACGGGCTGCAAGAGTCATACCCAACGCCTCCCATGATGTGTGCCTTTGGCTGCCCTTGGCCTACAGCAGTCCGTATGCTGCTGTGCTGGTTGTATCGTATGTTGGCTACGTGGTGTGTATGGTGCTGCTGTGCAAGAGGATTTCGGTGATTCTGCCGAGAGCGTCGTGCCCATCGCCCAATCATCTGTCTCTGTCTTCCAAAATGTCTTACAAAATCGACGGGTGATTGGTGGGAGATGGGCATCTACCCGGCTCTACCCCTCTAAAACATAGATACTTGTTAGAAGTTCTTCCGTGTCTTCCAAAAAAATTGCCCTATTTATGGGTGCTCTGCCTAGAAGCGGCTACGGCTACTTCAGAAGTGCCGCGTGACACGCTGATGACTCATGTATATATGAACTCCAAAAGCAACGACGGGTCTGTGCTGCCACAATAAAATAGCTCCTCACCCGTAAGACTGTAGTTGGTAGCATGAAGTGGGTGCGGCGCAGGGGTAGGACAGGTACCAGTAGACGAGAAGGGCCAAGGTCGCAGCAGTATTAGGGGAAGGAAACACAGCGCAAGCAAAGTTAGTGTCGTCGTAGTCTACTCCTACACGTGCATAGTCAGCAAGTATGGTACTTCGGCATGTTGATTCAGCAATCGGATCATTGTACACACCTACGGTTATTACGTTGTTGGCAAATGCTAATATTCCTGCAGAAATATGTTATTGATAAAAAAAAGAGTCGCAGAAAATGATGAAAGCAAAAATGGGTTGGTTGAAAGCAGTGGCGAACAAAAAGGACACGGGGACTTCTCCGATATTCACGCGATATGGTCCATGTACCTGTGGGCATCTTGGCGCAGATCGAACCGTGGTCAAGATGACCATGTTGAACTACAGCAGTACATATAAAACGCAAGAAAAAAAAAGAAAACGACTGCTCAATTGCACGAAAGCGTCACGTGCCTTCTCACACCAAACAAACCTCGGTTTTTGATTCTCACCGTGTGGGGCGCATGCAATCGAGCTGCACTCTCCCGGGGGCACCGGGGGGCTTGCCAGGGGAAAAGACTCCGCACCCCAACTACACACCCTGGCAACGCACATGCGTACTCGTTCCTTCTGTGTGTTCATGTGCAGGTATGCATATGTACGCCAACTTGATTTTGAAATCGTCGGCGCAATCGCCCCCCCCCCGCCGATGCAGCACTCGTAGGCTCTTGCTTGATGGCTTGTTCGACTCTCTCCACCACGACAAGAGCCCGTCACAGCGTCAGCTCTCTCTACCGCATTGAGCCCAGGAGGGTGGATGCCTACAGACAGGCAGGCTTTTAGCATGCAACCCAGCAGGTGGCGGGGCGCATGTGGCTAAAAAAATACATCCGATCCCCTACCCACAACAACGACAGAGGTGCGCAAAGGAACCACCACAGCTCTCACGTGAATTTTGTGCAGAGGTTGTAGCCGACGTTGAAAGTGTACCATAAGAAGAAGAACGTGGTGACCCGCAATCTATGGGCCCGCGCACTCTCGGCCGTGCCGGCGGCGGCAGCATCCTGCTCGTCCCCGGCATTCGACACCAGTGCGGCCGCTGCTTGAGGGACTGAGGAGGAAGAAGAGGAAGACGGTTTTTCGGGAGACATGGACACTCTCGACCCCTCGGTCGCCACCATCCGGGCCTGCGCCTTCCGCACGCTGCTGCGTCGCGCGGCCGAGACGTGGTATCTTCTTCCCCCTTCCCATCGCTGCTGCTGGCAGCCCACGCGGGCGCCTCCGCCCCCGGTCGTCGAAAAGCCCGACACCCTCGCGGCGAGAACAGCAGCAAGCAGCGCCGTCACCAGAACTGCAGCAGCAGAGGGATGCCGTCTACAACTCCTCCTGCTGCTGGCCCTCGCTCTTCTCCTCCTGTCGACGCTGCCAGTCCCCTTGTCCTCCATTGCCGACTCGGTCAGCAAGCTTTGGGCCATCAACCTCACGGCGTGCGTCGTTGTGCTTGTGCGTATGTGTTCAAAGCAGGGGACAATTCTTCGGTCCCACAGATGGGCATGTGGGAGAAGATATGCCGGTGTACGAGGATACGCACATACGCACTCCAGATAAGATCGTCCAATCTGCGGGCCCCCCGCGAGATCCTTTCTTCCTGTTCGTGGGTCGTCTGTTGTGTGCTCGTGGTGGGGCTGTGTTGTGGGGCGCAAGCCCGTTCGTTTTGGATTCTACCACGCCCACGCGTGCATTGCTTGTGATCGAGCATGTCGAGAATACTGCACACAGATCGCGAGGCCAGAGGGCGCGAGAAAGCCCGCTCACGGTTCTGAATTTTCATTTTGACAAAAAAAGCCAGGCGCTCGTGCTGGTTCTGGGCACAAGCTGCTGCTGCTGGTTTCGGTCATGGAGCTTCCGGCAGGGTGAGACAGACAGACAGGCAGGCGGACAGGCGGGCAGAGGTTATGCGAGGGCGAACCCTAGGTGTGCAAGGAAGTGTGTAAGGTCTCCTGGTTGGAGGTTTATTGGAGGAGGGTGGTTATCCCAGCAGCCGCATTATTTTCTTTTTTTGGATCCATCTTCTTGTTGGTTGTTTGTGTTGTCGCTTCCAGAAACCGTTGGGATCCGCGGCCGCCGGTTGACGGGTGCTACCAGGGTGTAATGCGATGCAATTGTGGGTTGATACAGCACAGTGCATCCTACAGGTCGTTTCTGTGCAACTGTCCTTCTTTAGAAAGGCCCATCTATATGTGGAGCTAAACCCCGTGTGCTGCATGTATGTGGCTGCTGCTGCTGCTGTCGTACAAAATATCTCGCCGTCGGCCTTGTTTTCGGCTGAGGTTCACAATCGACTTTTCGGGCTGTTGCCGTTTGGAAATGACTTCGAACGAAGTGGCCATCGCTCTCACATCTATAATAATTGCTCAGAGCTGCTTCCTCCCCATTACGTAATACCACAAAATGACTTATGCTCTGACGTCGAGAGACACTTTGTTCTCTTCACGCCTACTTAATACAGGGGGCCTCAAGTGCTGCAGACACCCCCCCAGCCGGGTAACATCCTCATCGTCGTCATCATCGTCGTCGATGTTGTGGTTGCGTCCACGGCTTGCTCCCTTAGATTCCTGCCGGGATATTCTGTTCCTGCTGAGATATTCTAGTTCTTCAGTACGTGCTTCTTCTTCGTCATGCTTTCGTTGGAAACAAGTCTCATACATTCATATGTCCGAGGCGTTTCCTGCGTACGTTGTACGTACACTTAGGGCGCGGTTTTCCGTGAGATGCACGACGTTTCTGGTCGTGTAGATCATGTGTGTTGTCGCAACGTCCACAAATGGTCATCGCGACCACTAACGTCGTGTATCTAACGGAACAATACGCCCCCGAGGCCAAGCACCGCCGTCCTCCGGCTTCTGATTGGCGAGGTCCTGGCCAGCAGGGCGACCACTACCGCCCCCGCTACACCGGCATGGGAGAAGGCGGGGGCGTGGCTCAGGCTGCGGCAAACGTTACTGGAGCCACAACCCTGATGGGTCGGCACAATGGTACGATGCTGAGCGCTGTGCCGTGAGCGGTGCACCGCCGCTTCAGGCGGGCTAACGTGTCGTGGACGCCCGCGGCCAAGATTCCGCGGCCGCGCTAGCCGGGAGACTCGACGTGGTCGTGCACGTGACCGGAAGCCCGCAGGGTCTGGGCTCCGCTTCCGAGCTCTGCCGGCCTAGGGAATGAGAGAGAGTGGACGTCTTCTTCTTGCGAGTGGAGGAGGGGTGTTCTCGCTCCAGGATGCCGCCACACGGCCTTGGAATCTCAGCGGCAAAAGGGAGCGCTCGTGTGCTCTTACGACGGCGGCGTCCGAAGAGTGATACGTTGATTGTCTGATGTGACCGTACCTTGGAAAAATATTCCATGAAGCACACGCAAATCTCGGCTTGAATGAATATGTTGACCCGGTGCGGTCGGTGACTGCCTTCGTGAATCTTCTCTGCCAATTCTTGGAGATGCTGGCATGGTTGCTTACAGGAGGGTGTGGCGGAAGAGGGATACCGCAGTGCGACGGTTGTGGGGTTACGAATGGTCTGAAGTGCCAAAGAGAGAGACCCTCACCCCGCGCTCTGAGTTCCTCGACCGCCAGATTTGCTTCGAAGAAAGACAGTTGTGACCGGCGGAGCAAGTCTGGTCAACCGGCAAGGCCATCGTTCGGCACGGTGACGTAGTTTTGCGTGTGGCGACCCGGGGGGTTCATTCACCCCGCGAAGGGTAATGCGCTTCGAAGGGCAAAATAATGACCTTCGTAGTGGTTCAGAGGGAGCCCGTATTCACCACAGGTTTTTAGCCTGTCCATGCAGGCTGGGTTCTTGTTAAGAAGCACGACGACCACTAGAATACTAGTCAGCGCTGACTAGTGGTCGTCGTGCTTCTTAACAAGTGTTACTGCCCGCGTCCGGTCTGGCGTTGCAGCCACCAACATGTCCCCCCAGACCGAAACTTTGCTGCTCCGGGCAAGACAGCGCTGATCACAGGGATGACAACGCTGGGGGGACATGTTCGTGGTTGCAAAGCCATATCGGAAACGGGCATGAAATTTTGGTAAGAAGCACGATGACCACTAGACTACTACAGTTGGCGCCCGCACTTAAGAACCTCTAGTTTCGGCCGAGGCTGGGGTTCTTATATTGCTGATCATCCTCTTGTGGGCTACAAATCGCCACTATAAAGGTTTTAGTGTAGGGGTTCTTAGCCGGGCTCACAAATGGTGCTCAAGTTCTTAGCTTCTGATTTTTTCGAGTCTCAATTTCTTAACTGCCAAGTTCTTAAGTGCGGGCGCTATCTGTAGTCAGCGCTGACTAGAAGTCTAGTGGTCATCGTGCTTCTGAACAGTTCTAATAACGGAGAGGGGAAGAGATAGGAATTTTTGTTTTCCAGAAGAAGAGTTGGTGTTATTCCGCCGGCCCCTCGGCGTTCCTAATATGTTCGTCGTGTTGGGGTGTAATGCGGCATTTCGCCATGTTTTCGGGTTCGTGCGGGCGCTCCTGCTGTTGGTAGCCTTGGGCACAACACTCTGAAGTGTCCGATTCATCGCAACGCCGAACTGAAGATGAGGTACATAGGTTCGGACGACGCACCGAAGGGTGTTGCACTTATCTCTTTCTGGTCGCGTCTGATCGGCACTTTTCGGGAGCTGGCAAACAAACGGTCGGGGACTTGACGTTGGACTCTTTCCGTTACAGGAGGCTGCACAGGGTTGAAAATACAAATAACAGAGGAAATAAAGTTAAGACGAATGAGGGTATACCCCCGCCCTCGTCAGACAAATGAAAGGGGAACAACATCAGAAAACAGGGGACCGGGAGCGTTCCGTGCGTGCACCGAACTGACTGCTCCTCCACTCGATTCTGCCGCCCACGTCCCACGCCGATAAAAGAAGCACTGGCATCGACTTTTCCGGTAACGTTTTCCGACCCCAACAGCGCCGCCGTGCAACCGCCGTGATTATCTGACTACAATGTACCCGCGTGTGTCGGCAACTACTGTACATAAATCGGGGGGGATGGACCGCTCAATTGACAAGTGTTTGACCAGTACGGACAGAGTATGGTACTGAGTAGAGAGATAGATCTGTTTTAAAGGTGAAGACAACAACAACAACAACAACAACAATTCCCGCGAAACACCACTATGTGCCATTCATTGGTAAAGAGTAGTGTACCGGATTGCCCCCCCCGGCCTGTCCGGCCTCTGATCAATGAAGACTATTTATTGTTGTCTACAATGCTTCGTAGATAGACATCGAAGAACGAGTCACCGTTCGAGAAATATCCAGTTCCAAGATAATATGTGTATATCTGTTGCCCCAAAAACCAAAATCCCTCTTCCACATCACCAGCCAAAGCCCCCAAAAGCCCAACCTGTACCAACCTTTCCTGGCAACCATCCGGGCGGTATGTTTTTTTTTTTACAACATGGGTCTCAGGTCAGCGGTCAGGACATCACATGTTTTTTTACGTATGTACAGCAGTAGTTGTTTCGATTATGGCGGGAAGGGGAGGAAACTCCACTCTTCCTTACATCCATCGGTCTCGCGTGCTATCTCATCGAACAAGTGGAAACTACACGCCATGCTAGATGTTGTTTCCAGCTGGTTGTTTCTTCTCCGTTCCGGTACTCTGTGCTTGCTCTCGTTTCTTGGCGCTGCCGCGCGTGCACAGCGGTTTCAAAAATAAAAAATGCAAAGAGGCGTTCCCACGCTTGTGGCACAGCTGGCTCTATAGTGCCTCTTCCGACCCACCAACCTGCCCTCGATATGTACCACTCGCCTGCTGCTGCTCTGTTCGGCCTCTCCCCCCTCCGTTGCCAAGACTCCTCTCTGGTTCTAATGGTTTTGCTGGAGTCCTTCTGCGCCGCCGCTTTCACCGCAGGCTCTGCGGCGTGCCTCGTGGTGCTGCTGCTGCCCCCCACCAGGCAGCAGGCCCTGGCCACGAACCCGAACAACCATAACCTGGCCTTTCTGGTGAGCTTGCTCCTAACCTGCCTGCTGTCATCGTTCGCCCTGCTGAGCGTGAAGGGGACGCACGCGTGCTGGCGCCCTTCCTCTGCGTCGTCGCCGCGGAAGGCCAAGGCGGCGGCGGCGGCCGCGCCGGCAGCAACAATAGGGGGCACTACGGGGCGTGACGCACCAGCCGGAAATGGCGGGGACACTTGCCCGACGCCAACAACACAACCGCGATCCTGCGACGATGATTCTGCGGCGATGACATCGGGGAGTAGCGACGACGACGAACTCCCGCCGGAGGACTTCCCGCTAGAACGCCGGTCGAGCTTTGTGGTGAGATATGTAGTTACTCTCTCAGACACGGGCAGATGACGTGCACGAACAGGAACAATACCATGGATGGGAGGGATATCTTGCGAAAATTTCCGCTCCGACCACTTGAACATGAAGTCAAACCAGGTTGAAGCTGCTGGCGGCAGCTTGTTGCGCTTGTCCAAAATGTGCGTTGCACCCCCCGCCCCCCCCTCCCTCCCAGAACAAGCGGGCGCCAGGCCGTGGTATCTAGGCCCTCCCTTGTTGCAACTAAGGAGCAGTTGCGTGCGTTTTGCCCGTGACAAATGGATAGATGGATAGCTGGGCAGGTGCTGGGACGGAAGGTATAATCGGACGGAACATATGCATACAAAACTCAGTCCAGCCCCCTCTATTTAACAGCCTAGTTGTACAGAAGCAGTGTCGACGAACCCGTGCATAAACTATTGGCACAAGGTACCACCTACACTCGTCCTCGCTCGATGCATGGGACCTGTAGGTGCATACATACAGTAGTAGTCTTCAGTTTTGAGAAGCTGTATGCATAGTCTACAGCAGTGGAGTGTGGTTTGCTGGTACAGTATGCATATGCATATGTGCATACCGATGTTCTAGAAATATTTTGTTCGCACGGCGGGGCGCCAATTTTTCACCTGCTATTTGAACGGGGGGGTTCTGCCGTGCAGCGTTCAGCATGTGCCGCTCAACAAAGCAGCGTCTTAATGATTTTACTAACCGCAGTACGCATACTACGTTGGATTTACCAAGGGTTTACTCGGTACTTTTTCCGCAGTTAAATTTCCGCCGTTGTGGGCGGTCCCGGTAATCCGCCGTTTTACCGCCGTTTTTTTGTTTCACCGCCTCCGCCAAAAGCGTTACCGCCAAAAAACTCGTTACCGCCTACCGCGAAACAATTACCGTCGTATGGCGTTACCGTCGAAAAATTACAGCCAAAATTCTGTTTTACCGCCTTCGTCAAAGTCGTTACCGCCGAAAATCGTATTACCGCCTACCGCCAGAACATTTACCGCCTTACGGCAATACCGCCGAAAAATTACCGCCAAAAAATTGGTTTTAACGCCTCGGCCAAAGTCGTTACCGCCGAAAAACGCATTACCGCCTGTCGCAAAAAAATTACCACCAAATGGCATTACCGCCGAAAACCTGTCCGCCTAAAAAACCGTTACCGAGTAAACCCTTGGGATTTTCCAGATTGGGTCAGGAAGGATCGTTGCTTTGAGTGCGCGTGCGTGTGATGGATGGCTCATAGTTCCTTCGCGAGAGATCAAGTTTATGAGAAAGTAGAACAGGGAGGGGATACGCAGACCCTATTACCTAACCCCAACTTCCCCGGTTGCATGCTTTGACCAACACGTTAACATCATAGAAAAGGCCTGCGAAGGCTACTGCTGTCGCAGGTCGTGTACCGGGGGTGCTATTGGACGTACAGTACCCACCCACGGTTTCAGCTCAAACCTCAGTCCGTGACCGCCACCATGTCCACATAATACGGCAACACGGCGGTTGTTTTCTTGCTCTACCCCGCACGCATCTATACGTGTCAGTTGCGAACGACTACACGTGTGAAAACCGGTGCTTGGCTTGCGCTACACGCGAAAAATTCACTACAATGTTCACGCGAAGAAAGAACCAAAAAGCCCTCCGCCGTACATCTGTGTCTCCAAAAATATCGAAAAATAACCGCTTGGTCGCGTGAATTACCTTGACGATTGAGGAACTCCTTGATTGCCCGCATGCTTGCTCCCGGCAGGAGGTTGCGCTGCGGATCCACGGCTGAAACAGCGGGAATGCCGCGTCAACATGGAGCTGGGAGGCGGGGATGTGCTACTACTGTACTGTCCGATTCGGTGCGTCGTTCGTGCTGAAACTTCCCGTCTCGGGTGCAAGCAAGAGGGGCCCCTTAAAACACATGGCTGTGAAAAATGCCGGTCTGTGGGGGGAGGCGGGGTCAGCCGTTGCAGTGTTGTAAATGGTGCAGAGTATCGTGTACAGGGACGGGGTTGGAGAAGGCGTGGGGGGGGGGCATGGTTCCGGCGTTCGGAAATGCTTCCGGTTTTTGAGGGGTTGGGCGTAGGAGATGGACTTGTATGACGGGGGGGGCTGTCCCTGTTCTTGATAGGGTCTCGCTTGTCTGTTTCGCGTTGAGTCCGCCGTTGCGTCGAGATTCCGTAGTCGTCATGTGTGTGCGTTTGTGGGCCCGGGGTGGTTGCGACCGGTGTGTTTTTGTTCAATATAGATGCACACCATGTGATGCTGGACGTTTGAGTGGTTGTCGACACCTGTCTGCCAGTGGGGCAATGATACTGTTTCCCGTCGAGATGGCACGAATGCACTCGTCTTGGCGGCTACATGTATGTTTCGCATGTATGGGCCGGTGTGCATTCCCTTTTTTATCGATTGCTACAAGCTGACGTCAATTTTAGTATGATAAAAATAACTATATTCCACAAGTATTAGTCTTGTGTGTGCGTCTCTTCGTTCATTTTTCCCTTCCCAACGACTGCCGTTGTAGGCGATCGAATTGCCCGGTGTGTCAGAACACGTGGGAGATGCTGTTTTGATCGAAAACGTTGCTTCCAATTTGACTGCTGCCGAGTCTGACGGCGGTGCGCTGCGAGCTGCGTTGGAAAGCGTGCGTGTGTTTTGCAGCCTTTCTGTCTATCGTCTGTTGGGCTTTAGTCTGAGGTGCATCGCTTTTTACCGGAAATCATTATTGTTATTGTCTTAATTGCGGGTTGGGTCGTTGGTGTCTGGCAGTTCTCACGCGTCATCACGCACGGCTCTCTGATTCGCTGGCGAGCTTTTTAGCACGTGCCGCCCGACGCGAGCGGTAACGTGAGCGGGTAGTTTTGACGGCTGCGGAGCAGCTAGCTGTGATTGGTTGTGTGAATGGAGACAAACAACGTTACAGAGAGCCTTGGCTCCGTGTCTCATGCGGCTGCCTTGGTCCGTGTTTGCATGAAGACTTCTCTTGTAAAAAAACTCTGCATAAGCCGTGCTTATTTTCGCATCTGCTGTACGGAGATTCATTGGTTGGTTAGCATCAGTTGCGTTTCCAGCTGTAACGCAACCGCTACTGAAATATACCGAGTACGTGTGCTTAAGGCTCAAGCGGAACGAACAAAAGGCACTCACATACGTTTTGTCCGCCATCTGGGGTGAGTTTTGGGCCACGAGAACGGGCGCGTCGTGTTGGTGGTGCTGGTGCATGTCTACATCACCACGTGCACAGTTCCATTTCCTGTTGCATTTGTAGCATGCTGAAGGACAAGAAGAGCGGTTTGAGGTTGATGCACAGCAGCTGCTGGCCACCTGAGGTCATTTGAGAGGTTACATAAGAAGACCTCGACAGCAAGGCTCCCCCTCAAACGACACAACAGAGGTCTTGATTTATTTTCTTTTTATTGCCTCTTTGTTTCTCTCTTGGCCCCAAAACCGGACCCATGACCCATTGACAACTTGCCTGACCCGGATTGGTTCTTCTTTTCCAAACGTACCGAAAGGTGTCAAAGCCGACGTCCATTGAATACGAACGCGAACCAAGCCACACGAACAACGGGGTCAACCTTCAAAGACGGCATTGCATTTTGTGGTCATTGCACGCACAAAATACATACACTTGTTCTTTGGGACTTTAATTTTGCCTTGCATCTCGCCTGAAACTCTTCTCTTTCTCTCGATTATTCGTAAGAAGCATGTATCTGGTTTCCGCCAACAAAGCGTTTGCGCCATGTGCTGGTGGGAGACATCTCCTTGTAAGAGCACTTGCACCCCCATGTGGGACGGGTGTGATGGCCGCTCTTGAGGAGATTACATGTGCAGGTCAGCCAAACCTCGGCGTGCCATCGCACTCGACCATGTTTTGTACCTCTCGTTTCATTGGGTGGGACCAAAAAAGGTTCTAAAGGTTTATCTTCGTTACCCCCCGCCCCTCCCCCCGCCTTGTTTCCGGCAAACACAGCACAACATATTCGGACACCCCCCAGCTTCCCCCTAACCTAGCCCTTCTCGCCCCCTCTAGCCAGCTGCACGCTTTATATTATTTTCAAATCCGTCATTCAAATTTTATCTCCCCCTTCCGTATCAAACCGATGGAATTTCCGTAGCCGTTTACGCCCTACTGAGGGTGCAAAGCTAACAGTCCACTGCACTAACTTGCCGCACTACGAATACGTTAAACTACAGTGTTTCTCAGCCTGCAGGTGCTGCTGGAACAATATTTCGTTGAAGAATCTACCACCTACGCGCCTGTTTTTCTTCGTAAACTCCCCTCGACCCCTCAAGATGTCGAGCTTCAGTGCACTACTTGAAAGCGTACAATTCATGTAGTACCAAAGTACATCGTGTTGTACACTGCAGGGCACGCAATAAACACCCCGTAGCAACCATCATGACAGCTTGGCCTACAGAAGATATGCTTTATCCCTTCCTCGCCCTTTCTTACTCTAGGTCCTAACGCTTGCTCCTCTTCACGCTGGAAAATATTTGAAAGCTAATCGCCCTGGCGGGCATGCTCAGAGTACATGTCGAAAAGCACTTCCGTAACAAGAAGAGGGGGTGTAGCCTTGACACTGTAGAATTAAGATGGCGATAGCCTGACAAACATAAAACAGCAGCATAAAAACAGCATCAGCAACAACAACAACAACAAAAACAGAGCGGTAACTACAAGCGGCGGCGGCGGCGGCGGTGGCGACGGCAGCATGTCCGCCATGCCCTGGCCTCACTATATCGAGACACACCCGCAACACCGTAGACCCACCACGCTCCGTCAGACCCCGCCGCCGTACTGCAGGAACGCGAGCGAGCTTCTGGCGAAACAGGCAGTCCTTTCTTGCCTCTCCAAGGCATCCCCCACCGTCTCCCCCGCGCGGTCTCTTACTCCGGGCACCTCGCCCTCCCCGCCGCCTAGACCGCTATCGGCCAGCACGCCATGAAAACCCCAGTGACTAATGTGTGGCAAAGACCGCCCTCCGGGAGGGCAGGGTTCGTCTTGAGCCCCGGGGTGGTCGAGCGCGCAGTAGAACAGCCGCCGGTCGGGAACACGGGCGCGAACAGCCTCCGCCTGAACCAGAAAACGCGAGTTCGGGACAGACAAGGTGCGGGGGGGGTGAGTGTACTCAGAGGTCGTGCATTCCGTAGTCGTCAGACCGTTGACCTCGCGTCCCTACAAAGCCGGGACGGAGCACGCCGGGTTTTCACCGGGCCAGGCTCTCACATCACCAAGCGCGAAGCACCGCGAGGTATTCGGCGAGTCGCATGAAGGGTGCGCTGCATCCTGCTAAGGGTGTTCGGCATCTTGTGCTTACTTCCTTGCTAACGGATGACAGCAGCGTATGACGTAATTAATTTTATGGTGCTTTCACTTCCAGAGACAGTTGTAAGCACTGTGTAACGGCCTCGAGGGTGCTTGACCAACTTTACACAACGTGGTTCGATCATCCCCTTTGTGCGGAGGGAGGGTTCTCGACCCCGCACAACACAATCTACTCGACCACCATTCTGGTTACCGCAAACAAAAAAAACAAAGGTAAAAAAAAAGGGGTAACCCGGTTGTCGAGCTCACGAAGCGATCGGCTTGATACATTCACAACGTCGTTGTCAAGCAACAAAAAACCAACCCCGATGGCAAACACCGGGGGGCGCGAGGAGAGAGGGAGAAGGAATGCTAGCGGTGATTTTCTGGGGTCCCGGTTGGCGTTGGGGACTACAGTCTAGCTGAGAAAAGAGTTTGAAATTAGAGCTTTCTGGGTGTGGAGACTGGGCGCCTCGCTCGCCGTCCCCGGAGATTGTGAAACACGGGGAAAACAGCGTTTTCTGAGCGTCAACAAGGGTATGTTAGTGGGGCGTGCAGCACGCAAGGCGTGTGCGCAGCGAGGGGGTCCAGATGGAATCCACTACAGCAGCAGTACGCCGCCGTGGCCCCTTATATAGCTCTTGTCGGTCGGTTACAGCAGTATTCTCAGAAGGGAAACATATATCGACATGCGCGCGACGCGGTTCAACGTTTTCTCGTGGTCTACCTGCTCGGTGGTCTCGAAAACAGCCAGGTCCCTGAAGAGGGCGAACAGCGCTGTCCACCGCAGGGGCTCGTGCTCCGGCCGCAGGCGCAGCAGGCGCACGGCGTAGCCGAGGAAGCCGGCCGGGGCGGGCGACTCGGGCGCCCGAGGCAACAGGTTGGCGCCCTCTTCCCGGCCGTCGCCGTCTTCCGTGCCAGCGGGGACGATGCCGATCCTCCTCTGCGGCGGCAGGAGCAGCGGCAGCAGCAGCGGAGCCAGCGGGGTGGGGTTGTCCATGACGAGGGTGCTGAGCGGCAAGAAGTTGACGGGGCCGGTGTAGAAGCCGCGGCGGCGGAAATCGAAGAGGACCTTGTCGTTGTCCACGACCACGGTGGACAGGGCGGCGCGGCGCTTGTGGGACAGGGCGCGGGCGATGCGGGGATCGGGGACAGTCACGAGGTCGGACAGGAGACCGATCACGCCGCCGCCGTTGCCGCCACCGCCGCCGCCGCCGCTGCTGCTCCCGTCGATGCCGCCGCCGAAAGTGCTGCTGATGGCGGAGTAGATGGCGCCGCTGGTGGTGGTGGCGTTGCCGCGAGGCCAGTCGATGGGCCAGGTGAAGCTGTCCAGGCTCTCGCGCAGGCGGTGGTTGGCACGGAGGTTGCCGGCCTCGTCGTTTGCCCGGCACATGACGTTCTTGACGTATTGCTGAGAGCGGCAGCGGATAGAAGGAAGGGGGGGAGGGTGGGAAGGAGGGAGGGGAGCGGGTGGTAATCAGAAACCAATTCACGTCCGCGAGACGATGAACGATGGTATAACCGGAGGAAGGAGTTCAAGTACATGGCCACCGGGAGGGCGGGTACTGTTCGCATTTATTTGCCGTTGGTATGGTTAGCCAAGACAAACTGTCGTCTTATGTACAACAGCAATGCCTTGATGAGAGGAACTCGACGACGACAGTGAACTAACTCCCCTATGTATCCGTTCATCGAGGAGATCCACCGGATTCCAGAACGCAAATAAGCCGCCAGTGTAGCTTACGGCAGCGAGTGACGTGTGCGACACAGCTACAGTTCAAGCAAAACGCTCAAAGACACTAGCATAGTCATATGCATATTTCAACTCAATTGGTCTCCGTTGACATGAAGGTAAGGTGCCCGGCGATTGCATCTCTTCGTGTCAGTGGTGGAGTCCTTGCTCCAGAAACGTGTAGCATCAACAATATCCACGTTTAACGTCGCTACAATCTTGTTCCGGTCTTCAGCAATGAAGAACTCCCTTAGACCTTCCTATTCCATCCAGTCTCAGGCCGGTGCTCCATCGTCATGTTAATCTCCTTCCCCTCTTGAGCGCGCACCTCTGAGGCTTCAAGTAGTGACTAATTTTCCTGTGTCATGAAGTCGGGGGCTTAGACTAGTAGACTGTGGACAAGAAGCCTCCTGGGTAGCCAGGTCTCTCTCTGCCAGAGAGAGGTTCAAAGAGAGAGAAAAGACTGGCCCTAAAGGCAGATTGGATTGCCATAAAAAAGGAGAAAGTGTGTGTCTTTATTGTTAGCATCGACCGCGATAACCGGGTGTGTGTATGTATGTGATCCAGCACCATCAGCCTCTCTCTGCCTCTCCATTCTCACCTGATGTGGCGAGAGACAGTTCGTTTCTTGGGCTGCTGGTCCTGTTGGTGCCGAGACGGAAGGAAATTCGCAGCGGTTGAGCCTACCCCACAGGACGTCCGCGTGACGATCGGCCGTTTGGAGGAAGTCTCGGCTCGCTCTCCGAATGCTGGACAGCTCCCCAGCGGGTAAAAACGATAACACGGTCAGCCGGACATCCTCCGGAATTAGTCCAAGCGGGAAGGACGACCACAGAGGTTGCCGTTGCTGTAGCTGCAGCTGCTGTCGCTGTAGTTGTTGTTGCTGCTGCTGCTCCAGGTCGTGCTGACCGCCGGGTACGGATGGAGCGGCGCCGGTGGACGTGGGGATAGTGATGGGGATCGTGTCGAGCTGTGTGAGGAAGTGTTGACGTATTTTCTGCACCATTTGGCCGGAGCGCTTGGAGGTGTTGGAGACGAAATCCATGTTTGTCCGCGCGTGTACGGTTCTTTTCTCTCTTCAGGGTGTTGGTGTGTGGTAGCCGTGGGGTGGTGGTGTCTGCCACAGTGTTGTGGTGGGCGGAGCGCGGACGGAGTGCATGTTTTCACAGCGCGCGAGGCGGGCGCGCATCCAGCGCATGTGGATGTGCGGTGTAGCGATACTACTGGTCGGCTACTGCTGTAGAAGAAGTGAACTGGCGTGATAGGATTGGCCAACACCAACGAACGATTGTGCCGCATTTTCGTAGATTGACCCTTTCGTAAATGCAGTCCATCGGGAACCGCACACATGATCGTGACTGCTGTGACTGCTGTGGGTATATCTCGAATGGGTACAAGTCTTTCTGGGTGTGTTTTGTAATATTTTATTAAGGAATAATAAAAACACACACAGAAAGACTACCCATTCGAGATATTCCCACAGTCGAACTTTTTTATGATAAATGATCCCGTGAATTTCCACCATCATCTCCACATACACACGCGCGCATTCCATATCTCTACACTCGAGACCCAAACAGCAATACTGGCAACAACCCAAGCACCCAGCCCCCCGGTCACCCCCACCAGCACAAGCGTCAGCACTTCCTGAAGCAGCGACGACCAGGAGCTAACGACGACGCTCCCTGGCTCTCTTTTTGGCCATCAAGGAATCAAGCAAGGAGCACCCATGGGGCATGTGGTCTCTCGTCTCGTCCACATCCTCGGCACCCTCAAGGTGCGTGGTGCGAAGCGCACGAACGAGGAGACGATAGTGCGTGCCTTTCTCTCTCCTCCGTATCTGGTGTGTCCATCGCCCACTGCTGTGGTGCAGTTTGTCCCTTCATGCTGGGGCCTGTCTTACATGTCACCGGCAAATTAGGTCGGCTTGTCGGAAGCTCCTTCGGCACAGGCAGTGCGGGGGATCACGGGGAATTATCTCGCCTTTTGGTTGATGGTGTGCATGTACACCCCCATCACTAGAAAATGCTGTCTGCTTCCCCTTCGCCTGAGACTCCTGGACCGCTGTCTCCCTCCTAACGCCTGAGATCGCAAGGTCTGTCTGCAGTCTGTAGCAGTTCAGCTTCTCTTCCGAGCGAGATGCGTACCTGCGGCTCAAGGAACAGAACAGTTTACGTTCATGCACGATACACCACCGCTGTAGAGACGTCATGGCCGTGCTGAACCTTTAAAATCGGGCTTCACGGTTCATGCATGTTACATAGGAACCCTCGCAACCCTCGCTCGTGTTCTTATGGCTAACCGAGCGTTGCAGCGAGATCAAGCTGTTGGGGTAGAACGAGGTACAGCAGTAAACGGCAACGGCATCGGCAACCAACCACACCACCTACTATAAATAAATACATCAGATGATGACCACCCGCCGGCAAATTGGCGGAACTTTGTCGAGCCGTTTTCACCCGACCGCCAAGAAACACGAACCACGCAACCTCGTCGACATATATGTACAAACGCCGTGGTATCTACTGACTCTACTTACTGCTGTAAACAGCATACAGCAGTAGAGTCTGCGTACGTATGTAGCGGGTGTTTACACGGGCGTGTGTATGTCTTCAAAAACCGTTTGTTTGCCGTATGTTGTTCTTCGGATCTTTACGTTTTGTACTCTTTCAACCGTCACTTGCAGCACAGTCTAAAGAGTCCAAAAATCTTCCTCGCCCCCCCCCCCCCGCCAGCCGTTGGACAAGCGACGTGTTTGTACCACACATCCACACATTACTTGTAAGAAATCGACGATTGATTGAACGCCCAATTTTGCGGCCGGGAGCGAGGACCTGTGTGCGCTTGCGCCGGTTATTATGTTATTTGACGTTGCAGCGCGGTATCAACGTTTGTTGCGTGGGGAGAATGAACAACTATGGGGCGATGTCAAACGCTCCATGCCGCGCACACAGGTTTTACTCGCACTCCTCGGCCGGCGGTGGGTCCTAGCCGTGTACTTTTTCAACCCGCCCCCTGATGCGTCGTGTATTTTACAAGAAGAATTGATTCCCCACACATAGATAGATATACGCAAACAACACGGAACGGTATTGCAGAAGTTTATTATTCTCCACGCATACATACATATAGACACACACACACGTGATTCTCCGCTCTCTGACGATGGTCCATGCCGAGTAAGAGTGAGTGCGAAATATGGTACCGGTCGAAGAGATGACAGCGGTCGGACAGATAGCACCGGCTTCAGAGAGATGATGGCTACAGTGTGCGCATGATGATTTTTGATAATTTGTGGTATTTCCGCACGCCGTTGCGATTTCACCGCCCCCCAATCCAATTGTTGAGTGCTAAATAAAGGGGCCTGGGCCCCTCTTTGAGCAGCTTGTCGTGAGGTACATGTGGGTGCCTTTCACATGCGGCGAGGGTGTCATCGGGGGGCAACAACATTCCTTTATGAACTGTCGCGGTCTCGGTATCGCACCGAATGGGGGTTATGGCACGGGGGTGCGTGTATGCAGCACCGCCGTAGCAAACATTGAATGTATTTTGGCATCGCACCCATCGGGCATGTCGCAGCGGGGTGCCTTGAAAAAGTTAGCATCATGGAGCGGAATTATTGAACTGAATTTCCGCACCGCAGTCGGAGAAAGAAATGGAACCGGGGTTGCGGCTTGAATGTACGTAGCAACTGCGAACCTCCGTGACCCTCGCTTGCAGAGTTTTCAGATAAGGGGAGGCTGTGTCCCAGTGGCCTATGGTGCTGCTCGCGGCTATCTGCTCGCGGGTACAGGGCATGCCTTTCGTGGTGCACCTCAACGCAACCACACCAAACTTTGAAAAAATAAGAAGGAACGAGAAAGAGCAGCCCGCCGAAAGCAAGAAAACTCTCACAAGGCGAAACAGGAAGCGCACACCTCACCCGTTTCCAGATACAGATGTCCAAACCCAAGAGAAACACAACGCCCAAAAGGTGAGACAGGACCAAGCGCTGGGGAGGGCTGTACGGAGTTGTTTTATGGGACATGTTTTGTCCGGAAAACTGTGTGTGTGTGAGCCCGCGGATTTTCCAAAATATACGGAAAAACTCGTCTCAGCTTCGCTCCCTCCCTGTGGCAGTTTGGGAGCCGGCGCGCTTCGGGCAGCAAGGGCTTGCCTCGAGTGGCCGCACTACACGTCATCCGTTGGAAGATGGCGCGAGCGTAGGCGTTTGCTCTACGCTCTGCCACAGAACTGGTGGTCGGTCATGACCGCAACGATGGTGTACGCAATACGGAGGAAGTGGTCAGTCGATTCGGGTAGAAAGATGCATGTGGTGGCTTCTTCCGCTTGTTGTGTTTTTTTTCTGCGGTGGGCATTACGGCGTACAGGAAGAAGGCGGTGGAGAACAGCAGTTCACCGCCCCGAACCGCGACGGTTCTACGCCTGCCTGCTTGCCTACCGCCGCGAAACCTTCCCAAGCCCCCAACGTTTTCTTTTTGCTGCTGCTCCTGTATCGTGTGACACGTTTCCTTTCCTGTCAGGAAAAGCGCCTCCTGCTACTCGGGCTGGACAATGCGGGCAAAACTTCGCTCTTGGTGAGATATATCCCATCCTATCATCGACGTCGTTTCAGCTTGTGGGCGATGGGCGGTAGTAGCGGGTCCAATTGATAACTTCAACAAGCAGTAACGACAACTATGTGCCACGATACACACGTGTACTTTAGAGGCATGGTGGATTGGATGTCATGGATACCACGGGTTGGGAAGGGTGCAATAGTTCAACCCACAAGACGCGCCAAAATTCACTATTATAGCTAGCTTTGCGCACTCGTCGAAATCAAACTCAATACGAAGCCTCGTCAAAGTTCGAAACATATTTTCAGCCTGATTGATCCCTTGCTTGAGACCGCTTTCCGCGCGGACACGTTTGGTGTTTCAACTGCAACACGTACACTGCTTTTTCGTGTTCCCCATTCGATGAGAGCTTTGCCGAGACGTTGCTCTTTGAACAGTAGTTGCCTGGTTGAACTCCTGAGTCTCTTTTTCATGTTTGAGCTTAGGGGTTACGGTGCGGTTTCCCATGTTCTGCGCTTGTCGTGCCGACTGACTTGCGTCCTTTGCTGAGCGAGGTTTTCACTGCCGCGCCCCCTAACCCTTGCCCTCTAGCCCTATAACCCCAATCCAAACCGTTTCATTCAGCCGCAGCAGCGGTAGCGGTATAGCTCGGACAACAGCAACAACGGGAACGCCACCACCGACGAGAACAGTTGATAACGCACCGTCCGCAACCCGCTCACATGCACCCTGACTTGCAAAGCGTAACTCTTTTTCTCTCTTGGTGGTTGCACGCGATGACATCGACGACAGTACAATCTCCACCTGAACGAGGCCGTGGGCACCGTTCCTACCGTTGGGTTCAACATGGAACAGGTCGAGTACAACAACATGGTCATGACCATCTGGTGAGTGGTTCCTCTACGGGAAGAGCAGCATGTATGAACATTGAGGACCTATCGCCTGTTTTGCAGTCTCTTTCCTTAGTGGTCATCCAGACGAAATAGTAATGACTTTGTGGGGTGGTCAGTGGCTATACGGAAAGAAGCCTACAAGTAGTATCTATTTTCTGTACACACGAGGACCTCCAGTACCTCTTCTGCAGCGTCTTGTCGTATTTAGTGGTGATCCTGACGAAACGTGTTCTCTCGTGTAGCTCACCACGATACGATGACCTAAGGTCCATGGGGAAACAAACGGCCAACCACGGTGACGCTGTAGCTCCCGCCTCACCCTCCATTTCCGGCAAACTGTGGGGTTCACCCCCCCCAGCGTCGCCGATCGTCCCCACGAAGGAATGTTCTTTGTTCACAGACAACCCCGTCCACTCTCGCCTCCCCCGTTGGAGTTGCCAGAACTGGCAATAGGTCCATATCCACTAGGACTCCCTCCCCATTGAGGGGCTGTTGGTAGGCTTTAGTGATGACACTAAGAGGAAGTCGTTTCATTTTCCTCCAGAAACCGAGAGAGAGCGTGACACACGAGAGCCAGCCAAAGATATAAGATCCCCAAACGTTCTTCGGCATATATATATATATATGTGCACGTGCTGCTCCGCGCTTTGGCCTCTACTTGCCCGCGGCAGGGACGTCGGTGGGCAAGCCAAGCTGCGGTCGCTTTGGCGGTACTACTTTGTCGACACCGACGCGCTGATCTTCATGGTGGACTCTTCCGACGAGAATCGCATCGAGGAGGCGAGGGACGAGATGTTTCATGTGCTTCGGGACCCCAACATGGACGGCTGTCAGACCGTCCTTATCATGCTCAACAAGCAGGTGGGTCTGCTGCTTGCTGTAGTACTACTGCTGCTGCTGCTGCTGTAGGCCCGTTTTCGAAGTTGATTTCCAAACAAAGAGTTAAAAATCTACTGCCTTTTTAGGTCGGTTTCGTCAGGCGTATGACGGCGAAGAAGCGATTGCGGCGTGCAAGACGGACGACCTCCTCGTCGTCCTCACCGGCGTGTGCATCCCTTCAAATTCGGGCGTTGCGAAGCACTACCAGTGTAGTCTGCGCTCCTGGTGTACCTGGTGCTGTTGGCAGAGTGAGCATGACATGTAGTCCCCTTCCCGCAACCTGCGTCGCCCCCAAACATTGCTAGGACGTCCCCGGTGCAGTCGGTCCCGGCATCGTGATCGACAGGATGGGTCTCAACAGCGCGGGTGACAACCCGCTGAGAGAACGCAACTGGTACATGCAGGTCAGTTCACGCTGCCAGAGGCGAAAAGGTCACCATTTATGGGGTGTGGCGTCGACATCGTGCACGCTCGCGTTGTCGCAAACGAACGATTTTTTTCGTCACCATCATAACGGTTCCAGGCTATTACGTAGATGGTACCAAAACCACCGACTAACGTTAAGTGGTGGGCCTGCGCTGTGTTGATCTCGGGAAGACCGCGGGGGTACGGTACGGTAATGCCGTCAAAGCTCAGATGGACGCGTTCGTTCGTTCCGTGGAAGGCAAACATGACATGATGATCAGTATCTCGCGTGAAGGGTGTTACAGCCATCTTGCACGACTTTTGTTTTTCGTCGTGACGACGCTCCGTCTCCATCCTTGCGGGCGAAGCATAACAACCTCGTTGCAAGAACCGTCGCACTGTAGAAATGCATGACAATCGATGAAAACCTGGT